CATCACGACGAAGTACGAATAATCAGCAGGCAGATAGCAGACTCCAGCCCAAGCCGTACACCCTCCCTGCCACAGCCATACTAACACCCCTCCCTGCCCTCAATAATACACGCCACATCCCGGCACAGCACTACACCGCCCTCACTCACCCCCCACCTCCTCCCGCTCTCCCTCCCTCCCTTCACGCACTCCCATCCCTCCTCCCTACACTCCCCTCCACTCCCCTCCACTCACTCCACACTCACTCCCTCCAGCCCTCCTCCCCTACCTCACTCCCCACCACCTACTGACCTCCATCCCTCCCCCCTCCCTACTTCCCTCCCTCGCCCTACCCTCTCCCGCACCACCACGGCCCGCCCGCCCGCTCCGCCCGCCCCGCCCCTCCAACGCCATTCCCCGCTCACGACTCAAGCAAACCGCAATCAATGCACAACTCCAATACAATCCCTCCCTCCCTCCCGCCATCGGCTCCTCCTCTCATCCCTCATCCCCCCCCCTCCTCCTCCTTCCTCCTCCTCCTAACTCCTCCTCCGCTCATCATGCCTACTCTCCTTTTTTTTTTTCCTTTCCTCAATCCCATCTCATCCTCATCCTCGTCCTCGCCTCCTCATGCTCCTCCTCCTCCTCTTCCTGCACCACTCCTCCTCCTCCTCCTCCTCCTTCTCCTCCTCCTCCTCCTGCTGCACTTCCTCCTCCTCATCATCCTCATCGTGTTATTATTATTAGTAATAGTATCATTACTATTGTTATTATTATTATTATTATTAATACTATTATCATTATTAATATTAATATTAGTATTAGTATTATTATCATTATTATTGATAATATTATTAGTATTATTATTATTAATATTATTATTATTATTAATATTATTATTATCATATTATTGTTATTTTTATTAGTAGTATTAGTATTATTAGTATTATTAGTATCATTATTAGTATTATTGTTCTTAGCACGTATTATTATTACTATTTTTGTTATTATTATTATGTTAGTATGATTATTGTTGTTATTGTTAGTATAGTATTATTAGTAGTAGTAGTCGTATTATTATTAGTATTATTATTAGTATTAGTATTAGTATTGGTATTAGTATTAGTATTAGTATTAGTATGAGTATTATGATTAGTATTAGTATTAGTATTAGTATTAGTAGTATGAGTATTAAGATTATTAGTAGTATTATTAGTATGAGTATTATTATTATTAGTACTAGTATTCTTATTCTTAGTATTACCATTCGTAGTAGTATTCGTCGTCTTCTTATTATTAGCATCAGTTCTTCTTAGTATTATGAGCCTTCGTAGTATTATTCTTCTTATTATTGGTATTCTTCTTCGTATTATGCTTCGCATTCGTAGACTTCGTATGCGTCTCCGGATTGTTTATTTTAAAAGCATTGTTCTTCTTAGTAGTACGATTAATATTATTATTAGTATTAGTATAAGGATGCTTCGTCTTCGTCGTATCAATATTACTATTATAAATAATAGTAGTGTTCTTAGTACTACTACTAGTATTACCATCATCATTAGTACTAGTAGTCGTATTAGCATTCTGATATTATCATTATTATTAAACTTATCAGTATTAGTCGTATTAGTCTGAGTCGTCGCATTCTGATTTGTATGATGATTAACAACAGATTTAATAATAATGTTGGTGTTGCTATTTCATTATTAGTACTATTGTTAGTAGTTGTAGTTCTCTTAATACTAGACGTAGTGTTATTCGTCGCATTCGTCGGTGTATCATTATTCGTAGCATTGTTATTCGCATTCGCATTAGTATTGTTATTAGTCGCTCTTCGTATTAGTATTAGTGTTCTAAGTCGCCTTCTTATTGTTATGAGTAGCCTTCATATTCTTCTTTTCTATTATTATTCGTAGACGCCTTCTTGTTGTTATACTTAGTATGATTCGTAGTAGCATTCGTCTTATTAGTAGCAGTATTATTCTTCATAGTCGTCGTCATATTATTATTATTCTTCCTCCTCCTCCTCCTCCTCCGCCTCCCCCTCCGCCTCCGCCTCCGCTCCCTCCTCCTCCTCCTCCTCCTCCTCCTCCTCCTCCTCCACACCCCCTCCTATGCCTCCTCATATGCGTCCTCCTCCTCCTCCTCCTCATCCTCCTCTTCCTCCTCGTCAGCATCATCATCAGCATCAGCATCAGCATCAGCATCATCATCACATCATCATCATCATCATCATCATCCTCATCATCATCATCATCATCATCATCATCATCATCATCATCATCATCATCATCATCATCATCATCATCATCATCATCATCATCATCATCATCATCATCATTAGCATTAGCATCATCATCATCAGCAGCAGCATCATCATCATAATCATCACCATCATCGTCATCATCATCATCATCAGCACCAGCACCATCACCATCACCATCACCATCACCATCACCATCATCATCAGTATCAGTATCAGCATCATCATCATGATCCTCATCATCATCACCATCATCATCACCATCACCATCACCATCACCACCATCATCATCAGCATCAGCATCATCACCATCATCAGCATCATCATCATCCTCATCATCATCAGCATCATCAGCATCATCATCAGCATCATCATCAACACCATCAGCATCAGCATCATCATCATCAGCATCATCAGCAGCATCATCAGCATCATCAGCATCAGCATCAGCATCAGTATCAGCAGCAGCATCATCACCATCACCATCAGCATCAGCATCATCATCAGCACCATCAGCATCCTCATCATCAGCATCATCAGCATCATCAACATCATCATCAGCGTCATCGTCATCATCATAATCAACATCATCATCAGTATCATCATCAGCAGCATCAGCATCAGCATCATCATCAGCAGCAGCATCATCATCGTCACCATCATCAGCAGCAGCATCGTCATCATCATCAGCATCATCATCAGCAGCATCGTCATCCTTATCCTCATCCTCATCCTCATCCTCCTTCCCCTCCTCCTCCTCCTCCTCCTCCTTCTCCTCCTCCGTCTCCTCCTCCTCCTCCTCTTCCTCCTCCTTCTCGTCCTCATCCATCCTCTCCTGTCGAGGTATGACGTTTTATTCAGCCCATCATTCGTCTCGGCGTCGTGCATGGGCATCATGTCTGGATGGGCTGGCGGGGCCAATCAAAGCTTCTAGAATAATAATTCCCCAAAAAAGCGCAGGCGCGAATCGTGACGTGACCGTGCCCCCGCCCCCCATAATTACGCCCATTATGGCCAGGGGATACAATACTGGACGCAGAGACTCAAATATGTGCATCTCATTGTCCCGGCACATCTCGCAGTGCGCGTCTGGTTGTAAATGCCTGGATGTGAGAGCGAATCCGAATGGGCGACGTGCACAACGACGATGACAGCCTTGGCTACGATGAGGGTCGACGAAGAAAACCTACTCCTCCTCTTCCTCCTCCTCCTCCTCCGCCTCCTTCTCCCCCTCCTCCTCCTCCTTCTCCTCCTCCTCCTCCTCCTCCTCCTCGGCCTCCTCCTCCTCCTCCTCATCCTCCTCCTCCTCTCACCCCATCCTCGACTGCAGTTTGACTCGGACGGCAATTAAGAATTTGCGGCGTGGCCGATTCGATTTCGCGAGAGCTGATGGAACGTGCCCTGTGCACGCACATCTAAGATTCGACACGGTTGCAGGAGATCGAACCGGACGCATCGCAAGGAGGACGAGGCGGGGAAAAACACGATTCCCGCAGGGCACCAACACCCCGGCCATTCCCAGACACCATCCTGTTAAGCTTCGAGCCACGCCCTGCCATTACAACGACAGCACCCCAGGCGGTACCACCCATCACCCTCTTTCAAGCAAATACCCTGGCGAAGAACCGAGCCATGTGCAATTATGAGTAACGAGGTTGCGAGTACAGTGGAGGCCAGTCCACAAGAAACCTTCCACAAGAAACCCAACCCTGAGACCCCAGGACGTCCATTGATTTTTGGTGTGGGAACGTCGTCACGCTTTCCACAGCAGAACCATCGAAACCCAAGAAACCCAGGGCACCTGGAGGCAAGCAGGGTGGTTCTGGGCATGGGCCGCCACTGTAACCTCTTCGAAGAAGCCCGTCATGGGGCCACAAAACGTGTGAGGGGTGTGCCGAAACAGGCGCTGGGCCGTCATGCGAACGCAACCACTGGCGCACTCGCTGGAGTTCCCTATGCGGCCAAGAACGCGTGAGGGGTGCGTCGAAACTGGTCCAACACACGCACGCGGACCCTGCAACTGGGGCTTTCGGCGGAGCTCCACGAAAAGTGCGAACGGTGTGCCGAATCGGGCGCGGGGCCGCCATGCGAAGGCAGCCGCCTGGAGCCCTCTGTGGAGCTCTCCACGGGGCCACCAAACGTGCGAGGGGTGTGCCGAGATGGGCGCGGGGCCGCCATGCGAGAGCAGCCACTCGGGGCCTTCGATGCGGCTCTCCACGGGGCCATGGGAACGCGTATGGGTACACCGAGATGGGCGCGGGGCCGCCGTGCGAGCGCAACCACTGGGGCCCTCGGCGGAGCTCCCTATGGGGGCCTCGACACGGGTGAGGGGTACGCCAACATGGCCACGCGGAGGGCAGAGGCAGGGGCGGGAGCAGCAGGAGCAGGGAGGGAGGCAGGAGACGGAGGAGGAGCGGCGAGGGAAAGGAGGAGGGGCCGGGGCGCTGTCTCTTCGAAGCGAGGGCCCGAGGCCGCAGGATGGCTGGGACCAGAAAAGAGAACCGCCCCGAGGCGTGGAGACCCGGGCCCCGCGGCAGGAGCGGCGCCCGCGGCGGGGGAAGAGGGAGCGGGGGCAGCCCCGCAGGTCGGCCTGCCGAAACGCCGGCGCCGGGGCCTGGAGCTTCGAGGGCCGTCCGCGGCCCGGTGAGCCCCGGCGGAGGTGTCCGACCCCCGCAGAGGGCGGGGCTCGAGAGGGCGGCCGCCGCAGGAGGGCGAGGGCGGGCCGAGGTCCTCGCAGTTCATGAGGTGCCCTCGGTACATCTCGCCCGTCTTCAGCTCGCAGGTCTGCGCCGGGGCGGCCGGCGGACGCCGTCGTCGCGTGGCCGCCCCTCCTGCTCGTCGTGCAGCCCCTCCTGCCGGGAGGCCGCCCAAAGGCGGGTCGGGGCCGGTGGGATCGGAGGATCGCGCCGCCTCGCCGACGCATCGGCCCTGCATCGGCGGTGCATGGGCGTCCTCGGGATGGAGAAGATCAGGCTGCAGATCGCGTCCTATCGCTGATGCATCGGCGATGCGGCGATCGGCGCGATGCGGCACGATCCTGCGAGGCGGCGCGGCGAGGCGCGATCCATCTGGGCGGCCTGGACCTCTTCCGACGAATACTGAGCCAGATTGAGCTGGGCACGGTGCTTATCGAGCAGCGAACCTGTGATCAAAGGATGAGCATGCGCGGGCTTGTCCGTATCAAGTCCACACTAAAATATACGTTCCTCCTGCGTGAAAGCTCGGCCATACCCGCGCAAAAGTCCAGTCTCGCGGCAGAGCTGTAGGGAACCACCACGATCATCACAAACCTTCCCAACAACTCCCGATCGACCGCGACAACGCCCTCCTCAACCACTTGCCTTGCAAGAAGGCATGTCACGTGATCCGATCCCGACATGTGTGCCTCAAGTCTCAACCTGGCGCTGGCTCGTCGAAGGGAGCCGACCCCGGCAGACTGCGCGGCCCGGCGCCAGAGAGCGGCGGAATCATCGCTGGGCCGAGTGATGGGGCAGGCGACGGGCCTGCCAGCGTCGGAGGAGCACGAGCACGAGCACGAGCAGGAGGAGCAGGAGGAAAAGGCGAAGGGCGCTGGGCCAGCCCAACCCTCGCGCTGCCGCCGAGGGGGCGGCCCCTCGACGAGGTGGCCCAGATTCGGCCAGACGCCCGACGCCGTGCGTTTGCCCCACGACGCGGGTCCGAAGCGTCCTTGAGATCCGGGCGTCGCAAGCTTCCCACTGCGCAGGCTTTCGCTCGGTCTCGGGCCCGGAGACCCTCCTGGATCCAGGCGGCTCGGGAATCGCGGGGTCGAGAAGGGAGAGGTCAGGGGCAGAGAGCGGGAAAGAAGAAACTCGCTCTGGACTGCCCCTGGAAAAGGAAGCATACGCCACCAGCTGGCTCCGCTTCCCAACCCCACCCTGGGCTGACCACACCTCTGCACACCTCCGACACTCGCGAATCCATCCGGCTCGAGAAATGCCGCAGGAGTGGAGGGCTCCCGCTGTGCGCTTCACGATGCCACGACTCTTGCTCGCGACGCCGGATCTCCAGAGAGCTCCCGACCGCCGTGCCCCGGGGCCGATCTTCCGTCCCTGGCCGCTTCTCTGGATGGACCTGGTGGCCTGGAGAGCGGCCTCCAGGAGGCCGAGTGGGGAGTTCGGCGCGACATACACAACAGCGAGTCCGAAAACCGACCGAGCCGACAGCGACATCAAGATCGGCGGGCGGGCCGCAGGCAGCCCAGAGGGGCGCGGCAACGGAACGACCGACGGCGAAACCGACCGAACCGCCAAGCGGCCGAACCGACCGAACCGCCGACACCCATGACTTCTCGAGCCCCCAGGGGTCTGGAATCGGCGCGGCAGTGCTCGAGTAGGGGATCGGCTACAGAATTGATCTACCCCAGAATCCATCTCTCGTCGACTCCATGAAAAAAAAGCATAGAATGTTCGTCGATATACGCACATTATACGTTTTTGTTTGTAGATTCAACGTGGAAATCAATTCTGGGGAAATCCATTATGCAGTCGATCCCCTACTCCAAGTGCACCCTCGGGCTGCCGCGTCGACGCCGCCACCCCCAGCGGCACCCGAGGCTCTCCCCCGACACCCTCCGATGTGATTTGTTGTTCAATCCGCGGCCCCTGATCGGGCGTGGACGCACTCGGCGGCGTGCACACGGGGGCAGGGGGAAGGGAGAAGGCTTCATAAAAGGAGGCTTCTTCTTTAAGGCGCCGGCCCTATATCTACAGAAAAGGCCCGGGCCTTCTAAGAAGCAGAGGTGCTTCAACGAGAAGCCGCCTTCCCCCCTCGCCCTTCCCCCCTCTGCGCGTGGTCGATGAACGGGCGCGGACTAACCCTGGTCAGCGAAACCCTGTCTCAGCCTAAAGAAAACTGCGCTACGGTTCTGGAGAGGGCTGCTCCATCCTGGCTCGGCCGAGCTGTGATTAAGGCCACCTCCAGGGCTGCGCCTGGCCACCAGAACCAGCTCGGCCGAATCTGGCTCTGCAGAGTCCTGCAGGAGCCGGCGCCCCAGCCGAGCCCCGCTTGCGCGGAACCCCACTGCATGCCAGCTGACCAGACCTCCCGGCCCATTCCCCTGTCGGAGGCGTTCAAGAGGGGGACCTCCAAGAGGGGGGGGGGGAGGGCAAATCATGGCCGGCGGCATGTGCGCGGCCCAGGGGGGGGGACAGGGATGTAACGAAATCAGAAGCGGCGCCATGAAATCTGAGGTAATCTCATGGCCCACGTCATGATGTCCATCCCCCCTGGTCATCACCCCCCTCTCTGCCGCCCCCGACCACCCCCCCGTCCCCTCCACGGTGTGCCCGATGCCCTCGTGCAGGAGCTTCACGGGGATGCCTCTCGCCCCGTCCGGCCGCTCGAGGAGAAAGGGAGGCAGAAGGACAGAGATGTATACCTATACGACCACCCTTCGGGTGACAAGATGGTTTGTGGAATGAGAAAACGGCACTGGGTCTTTGAATTAAATCAAAGCTTGTGTTTTGAAACTCAAAACAATGGTTTGTGAATTCAAACACCCGGGGAAACAACAACCAACTGAGGACCACTGCGATGAATGTGATGGCGATGCTGGCGATGCGCTCACGAGCTGGCGACGATGCAAGACGACGATGCTGACGACAGTGCATGATGACCACCATGCTGACGACAATGCACGATGGCCACTCGCGATGCTGACGACTGGCACCCCCGCGCGCACGCCCGCCCCCTCGGAAGTGAACGCACCCCTCACGACAGCTCACACCACACCCTTTTCGGCGTCAGCCGCGCCGTGCTGCACGCCTGAGCGCCTCCACGTGGGCCAAAAGACCACACCTGGAGAGGTGGGGGTCGACCACGCATTCGGGCCTGGGTGGGTGGGCTCAGTAAGAATGAGCACCAGTTTGGCCACGGAACAGCATGGGGCAATGTGGCAGCAAAGATGCTATGCAACACAATGCGATGCACCTCTCTGGCAGCATTTCAATTTGAGGGCGCAGAGTGTCGAGCCCACATGCATAATACCAACAGTTACACGGAACGCCGCATCGATAGCGGATGGGCCAGCACGCCCAACATGTAGCAGCAGTCAGCTTAAGTGTGCATTGGCGTCGCGACTCGCGATTGTGTTCAAGCCCCCCTCTTGGCAGAAAGAGCATCACGTCACAGAGCGTCCCCTGAAAATACCCGAAAAAACTGGGGACGCTTTTGGGGCCTATTCAGGCAGTGCCCTGTCACTGGAAGTTACCAAAAAACTGTAATTCAAACAACCGGGGAAACAAAAACCAATTGAGGACCACTGCGATGAATGTGATGGCGGCGATGCTGGCGATGCGCTCACGAGCTGGCGACGATGCACGACGACGATGCTGACGACAGTGCATGATGACGACGATGCTGACGACAGTGCACGATGGCCACTCACGATGCTGACGACAGGACACCGACGAGACACCCACGGGACACCGACTGGACACCGACAGGACACCACGGCGGGGCACCCCCAGCAACGGCAACCGCCCGCGGACACCGACCGGCCACCGACAGGACACCACGGCGAGACTCCACGACGGGATACCCACGGCCACGCCGGCCTGCCAGATGGGCGGTCTTTTGTTTTGACCCGCCCGAGCCACAGCGGAATGATTCCTCTCGCCCGCCCACGCAACTTCGCCTCGCCCGCACGCACGACACGAACCCCAAACCGAACCGATTTCCAGGTGGGGGGCTCTCCGTTCCACTTCGACCTCACCCCCCAACCTCCGACATACAGGCATGCAGGCAGTGACGGAGACAGAGAGAGAGAGAGAGCGAGAGACAGAGATAGAAAGAGAGAGAGAGAGAGCAGAAAGAGAGCGAGAGAGAGAGAGAGAGAAAACGAGGGAGATAGAGAAAGAGGAACAGAGACACAGACAGAGCGAGAGAGAGAGAGAGAGGAAGAGAATGAGGGGGAGAGCAGAGAGAGAGAGAGAGAGAGCAGAGAAAGACAAAGAGAGAGAGAGAGAGGCCGACCGACCGACCGAGGGTGGGGTGGGGAATCTGCCGTCGTGCCGCGAGGCACAAAGTGACAGAGTCCTCATGTCCCTTCGAACTCTCTGTGTTGAAGGTTGTAGATGCTATGTCAGGGCCACAGACCCCACCTTTTCTGAATTCCAGAGCGGTCCTGGGGCCCAGGACAGCTCCTTCCTTGGGCCCTTCTTTGTGCATGTGGGAAGTCTGGGCTCCCAACCACGGTCCCAAAAGACAGAAGTCACGACCCCTGCCTCCTGGGAATCTCTTGGAGGCCTCTCTCGAGCAATCTTGGGGCCAGCCCGAGCCAAAACCGTTGACAAACACATGATGGATTTGCGAGTCTTGCACACTCGTCCTCCCGGTCTTGGAGAGCGCCCAAGACGACCTAAAGAGGCCGCCACGAGAGAGCCCCCAGGGACCGCGGCGGGACGAGAAAGCCCCCCGGGGCCGCGGCGGGGAGGGGGGTCGGGGGCGGCCAAGAGGGGGGGCGTCCAAAAAGGGGGGGGAGGGGGGGGCGCAAATCACGGCCGGCGGCATGTGCGCGGCACAGGGCGGGGCTGGGGACGTATTGAAATGAGAAAAGGCGCTATGAAGTCTGGGGAGATATCATGGCCCCCGCCATGACATCAACCCCCACTCCCGGTCATCACCCCCCTCTAGGCCGCCCCCGAAGGGGGTAGGCGCCGAGCTGGCGGCTCGGCCCGGTGCTGGTCCGAGAGTGGCGCACTGAAGTCGCCGGAGCCATTGGTAAGATGTGCCGGCCGGCCAGCGCCTCCTCCCCCGAGGTCCGAGGTCTTCAAGAAAAGACAGCGTCAGATTCCCCAAACATTGTGGCCGCCATGAGAATGGACACCCTAAGAATCCTATCAATGAATTAATGTGTCTAAAATGTATGTTTTCCCGTTTTAATGCATATTAACAAAATGCTTACACATCTGGAAATGATTTGGCAGCATGCCTCCTCTCCACTGATCGTCGTCCACAACCCAAACAGTGCTTGTACTCTTGCACTCAAGGGATTCTTGCTTCTGTGCTAAGGTACTGGGCCCAGGTGGCGGTCTGGCGGCTCCGTGCACGCCGTCGCCGCCCCGTCGCCGCCTCGTCGACGCCCATCGTCTGGGCCTGGCTGGCGGTCTGGCGGCTCCGTGCTCGCCGTTGCCGCCCCAACGTCTCGAAAAAATACAACGTCTTAACAAAATTCGAGCACGAGCTCGGGACCCCATCTGTCTGCGGCACATTCCGAGCCGGGTCGATGCGCGAGGGTCCCCGGGGCCCGAAGCGAGGCAAAATCGCCGGTTGCGAAAAAGCTGCGACGCCAGGATGTCAGGGCTCCCCTGGTTTTCGGGTCATAGATCGGCTTCCCGGCGGCCGTTCGGGACGAGTCAGGTAGGTACCCCCAAGACGCCCTCGACGAGGCGCAGCTGATGGAAGCCGCCCCGGGCCTCGAGGTCCCACGAGAGCTCCCCGCGGCCTCCTAAAAAAACCGCCCGCGCGGCTGCCGACCTCGCCCTCCCTTCGGAGCCCTCCTCGCCCCGCCCCTCCGAGCGCGTTCGTTCCCATGGCCGCGGCGGGGGTGGGCGCGGGGCTCGCCGAGGCCCGCGGGGGAGGGGATGGGTGGAGGGGGGCCTCGCGGCGCGCGCGGGGCGCGGGGCGCGAGGGGGGCGGCCTCCCGCGAGGGCGCCCTGCGGCGTCTTCGGGGCGGGGGCCTCGCCCAGCACGGCTTTGGAGGGGCGAGACGCGTCCACGGCGGCCTCGCGTCGCCACGACTTCGGCGCTGGTCCTCGACACCGCGCAGATCTCTCAACCCTGAACGGTCGGCCGCTTCCGCAGCGTCGGATCGTTTGACATCGACCGACTCTGGGTCGCCGGCAGCGTTCAACTTTGAACGACGGCGCGAAGCTGCCGTACCTACCAGACCACCCCAACCTAACCCGAAGACCCAAAATTTCAGGTTGGGGGTAGGGGGGGTCCACAGATGTGTTTTCAGTGTTCGCCGCCGCCTCCCCCACTGAGAATGGAAGGCAAACTGGGGCCTTCCGGTTGGGTCGGGGCGGTCTGGCGGGCGGTGGAAAAGCAGCATAAACCTAAACTTTTGGAGCTCCGCGCGGATGTCCTGGATCTGCGCTTGAGACCTCTCCCTGGCGCGCGGAACGCGCCAGGGGCAGCGCCAGAGGCGCCACTGGGGGGGGCCCAGCGCCGATCCAAGAAATCCGCGCGGAACTCCGAGAAATCCCACCAGCCCTCTGGGCGACGGGTGGTCTAACGATGTCTTTCTTTCCTCTTCCACAACCCCTTCTTCCCCTTCGGGGAGGGGTCTAGCGGCGGCGGCGGCGGCGGTGGCGGTGGCGGCAGCGGCTGCGGCGGCGGCGGCGGTTTGGCATCGGGGGGCGGCGGCAGCGGCGGTGGCGGAGGCGGCGGCGGCGGCGGGGCGGCGGCGGCGGCGGCGGCGGCGGCGGCAGGCGGGCAGGCGGCGGCGCGGCGGCGGCGGCGGCGGCGGCGGCGGCGGCGGCGGCGGCGGCGGGCGCGGCGGCGGCGGCGGCGGCGGCGGCGGCGGCGGCGGCGGCGGCGGCGGGGGCGGATGCGGCGGCGGATTGGCCCCCAGGAGCTGCCCAACCAAAGACGACTGCTGAAGATGCTCAGGCTCGGGCCAGACTCGGGTGCTACGTATGTGTTGAGAGGGCGGGTGGGAGTGAGCGAGACGGCTTGCGGGCGGGGAGGGGGTAGCTTGACCACTCCACAATTACACAATATGAAAATACTCTCCCACTTCCCGTGATGGCGTCCCGAAGATATCCGACCCCCCCCCCACGTACTTTTTTTTTAAACACGCAGGATTCCCGGGAAACGGGTTTTCGCCTGCGTTTTTTTCAAAATGCTGCTCTCGCTGAGGCGCCGGCCTCATTTCTGCTCCCGAATCGTTCCGAATCGTGCTCCCGCTGCAGCGTGGGCCTCATTTTCGGATCGGTGTTTGGCCTCCGTCGTTCAGGATGGCGTTCTCGCCCCAGCGCGGGCCTCTTTCTCGCGCGCCCATCCGCCCGCCACCACCGCGCCGCACCACCACCACCACCACCACACCACACCCACCAGCACCACCACCACCACCACCACCACCACCACACCACCACACCACAACCACGCACACACGCACGCACGCACGCACGCGCACCACCACCCACTACGCACGCGCGCGCGGAGCCACAGGTCCGCTACGACACGCGTCCGCGGATAGAGAAAATCAGCGCCATGGTAAGGGATGGGAGGGAGGGGTAGGACGTCAGATATGACGCGAGCGCACCTAGCTTGCCCTACCCCCTCCCCTGGACCTGGACGGGGCGGCCAGCGATGTGTCAGAAGGTTCTTCTTCGGCCCCTGGGAGGACCAATTTTTGACACCCCTCACGAAGATCGTGCGCCCCCGAGGCGGGGACGGAGGCAAAGGAACCCCCTCCTTTGGTTGATAACCTTCCAAGATGGCCCCAAGAGGCCCTCAACGGCTCCCAAAATGCCCCCAAGAGGGCCCAAAGAGCGCCCCAAGAATCCCCAAGAGGCCTCCAAGAGGCACTCGAGAGGCCCCCAAGAGGCCCCCAAGAGGCCCCCGAGCGGCCTCAGAGAGCCCAAGATGACCTTCAAGATGGTTCAGATAGCCCAAGCTGACTCAGGATGGCTCCCAAGATGCTCCAAACGGCCCAAAAGTCGCTCCAAGGCGGCTCGAGATGGCCACGGAGCCTCCCAAGCCTCCCTCACTGTTTGACTACGCGTGTCTCTGCCTCTCTCCCCCCGTCAGCTCTCATGGCCGTCGTTTCTGGATGGGCTGATGGGGATACTTTTTTGGTCTGCGGCCGCGCGACAACGGTCTGGCGGCGAAGGGCAATGTCCGGGGCGGGCGGCACAAAGCGAATTGGCAACCCCAACCGCCACGTCGGCAGGCCGGATCTCACCTGCACAACAAGGATGCAGTTGCACGTGCACTGAGCAAAATGCTCTGCATTCACCAGCAGACGCACCTAGGCGCCGCCCAGTATACCAAGGTGTACAAGCGGGTGCGAGTGCAACGGAGTGAGTCGCCCGTGCGCCCCTGGAGGAAGGAAATGTAAGCATCCAGCAGGGCTCGTTCCCTGACCCCACCTTGGAATCCCCCCACTCTGCGAAGGCGGGCGTCCTGAGATATGGTTTGTTCAAACCGCGGCCCCAGAACTCTCGACCCATTTCAATGTTTGATGGCCCAGGGTCCCGAAGGCGGCCCCTGGAGGTCGAAACGAAGGGAAAAACGCCTCGATTGAAAAGTCATTGAAGGAACGAAGAGAAATGAACTAGCGATGCCGCTGCGCCCTGGCCCTTTCCAGTGGTGCGTCCTGAAGGGGGATTTCGAGACGAATCCAGCCGTGACGACGAGGGCCTCACAGGAGGCCCGAAGAGGCCAAAACGAGGCAAGAGTAGCAGTAGATGGAAGACTCTGGAAACCCTGACCATGATGATAAAAAGACTGAGGAGGGGAAGGGAGATGATGATGATGATGATGATGATGATGATGATGATGATGATGATGATGATGATGATGATGATGATGATGATGATGATGATGATGATGATGTTGATGATGGAGATGATGATGATGTTGATGATGATGATGATGTTGATGATGATGATGATGATGGTGATGATGATGGTGATGTTGTTGGTGATGATGATTATGATGATGTTAATGGTGGTGGTGATGATAATGATGACGATGATGGTGATGCTGATGATAAACGCTCTTCTCGTTTGTTGGTAGATTTGACAAGAAAGAAAAACAATACATAATAATAATAATAGTTTGCATTTTTAATAATAATAATAATAATAATAATAATAATAATAATAATAATAATAATAATAATAATAATGACAATAATAATAATAACAATAATAATAATAATTTGTATGTATATATCTATGTATTAAAAAATGGGGGGAATAAACTCTGTAGTCGATCTCCTGCTCGATTCCTGGAACGCCGCAAAACGGCGCCGCCCCCTCCTCCAAGGCACACCCTCGGAGGCCTACGAGCCCCCGGCAGGAGTAGAGGCCTCCCAGATGGGGTCGGAGTAGATGGGGTCGGAGGGTCTCGCCGCATCGCCGATGCATCGGCGACAGGGCTCGATGTGGAGCCTGATCTTTTCCACGCGAGCGTGCTCGCTGCACCATCGACGTCGCCGATGCATCGGCGATGCGGCGTGATCCTCCGACCCAATCTACTCCGACCCCATCCGGGAGGCCTAGAATAGACGAGCGCGCTCCACTACTCGCAAAGTAACCACTCACAAATGGCCCGGATCCGCCACGGGGGATTTACGATCCATGACATGAAGGAAGACCTGTTTTTGTTGTTTCGGGACGTTTGCGAGTAGGCACTTTGCGAGTGGTGGAACGCACTCGATGACAGAGGGAGAGGCCGCCGCCCTCGCGCTACCCACCCACCCCGTGCGCGCCGCCAGAAGGGGCGGCACGCGCGCGCGCCGCGCGGCGAGGGTAGGCGGCCCCGCCGATCGCCGAGCGGCGGGCCCCCAAAAGGCGGAGCGCGCCCCAGGGTAGCGAGCCCCCGAGGGGCACCGAGACCCGCGCAGGCCCCCCTGGGCGCCGCCGCCGCCGCGGGCCGCCGCGAGGCCAGACCCTGAGACCCTGGCGATTCAATTTTTCCGAGCCAGGAATTTTCGCTCGATTTCGGGCCCCGGGACCCTCACGCCGGTGTTTCGTTTTTGTTGTCGGCCTCGGGAGGCCCCTTTCAGGCCCCTGGGCCGTCAAAAACACAACCTGGGATGAGAGGCTTGTCCCAAAGAAGGGGTCGAGGACATCCGTGGGTCCACCCTGTGAAAAAATCCCCGCCGACCCGGCGTGTGAGCCCTGAGCTCCGCTCTGCAGGAGGGGGTTCCTTGCTCCGCCCTGGGCCGTGTTCCGCTTTCTCCGCCAGGATCCGGGGTGAGGGGGGGTCCCCCTGCTCCGCTTCCCCGGGCTCCGGGTCTGGCCCCGGCGACGCCCACGGCCCCGGCCCCAGCCTTGATCCTCCATGGCCCTGGCCCAGGCCCCCCAGCCCTGGCCCAGTCCCACCCCCGGCCAGGGCCCCGAGCCCGGCTCTCGGCCCCGATTTCTGGCCTGGGCCCCAGCCCTGGCGCCAGTTTTAAGGCCCGCCCGAAACTATTTCCAAAAGGATATCGAATAGTTGTACTACACTTTAGCAACTATTGTAGAACAGTTCTAGAATAATGATACAAAAGATGTCACAACTATTCCAAAACAGTCTCATAGCTACTCCATAACAGCATGCTTCCAACTACTATATAACTATAGTCTGCCAGAAATTGGAAAATGTGTTCTTTATGTATGTTCACCAAATATGTTATAAGATGACCAGCTTTCAATGAGGTGTATGTTGTGTGTTGTGTTGTTTTGTTGTTTCATTACTTTTATTGCTAAGCTGACAGATCTTACTCATGACGATGCATCGCGAGCATTGCTCGCTTCGGAAACTCATCGGGTTTGATCATGCCGAGGCATCGCGAGCATTGCTCGCGTTTGCGCACGCATGATGATGATGATGATGATGATAACTATGGACTATTGTGCTGAATGTGTCGATGGTTGTAGCCGATTAGGCACGAGTGCCGCCGCCTTTGCCGCCCTTGCCGCCCTTGCCCAAGCTCGCTGAGCTACAGCGGTCGCGTCGCGATCGCCATGGCGCAGTCGAACGACGCCGTCACGGCCGCGCGGGGGGCGTCCGCCCTAGTTTCCGCGGCGAGCTTTGCTCGCGTGATCCTGCGTGTACAGCTGCGATGCAAAAAGCGCTGCTGTTGTGGCGTTGCGGCGCTGGCGAGCATTGCTCGCACGGCGTTGACTACGCCAACGTTGCCCAATGGCGAGCTTTGCTCGCGTGGAGAGTGGCACGCGAAGCGCGCATACAAAGCCAGGGTTGCTGGCGCGAGGTCGAAGCGGATCAAGGAGGAGCGCGCATCCGCGCTGGCGCCACTCATCAATGAGCAGCTCCAGCTGCACTACGCTGGCCACGAAACCGAGGGCGCCTCGGCATTCCAGGCCAGGCTCCTCGGAGCCATCAAGAGTTGCGGTCTGTGCGAATCGAAGTACGCGCACGCGATGAAGGCGGGAATGCACCCCGACAATCGCGACGAGGCTGGACTCGCAACGTTCGACGTCCACGACTTGTCGGCCACCTCGACGGCCAAGGGGTGGGACGACGACGAGACGTCGAACGCGCTCGCGCGCGAGCCCGCGCCATCTCCGCAAGGGCCGTCGAGACATTCATCCGCGCATCGTGCAGCAATTCCTCTGGCGCAAGCGAAACGCGCGCGTCATGCACGCCAGTGCGAGCGCCCGCTCGCACGATCGGATCGACGAGCGCGCGCTCGCCCTGCAAACCTGCGCAACGTGGGCTAGTGGACCCCAGCCGGCGACGCCAAGACCCGCGACTTCAATGTGAAGTTAGCGGTGGGGTAGACGGCTTGCTCCCCCCGGTAGTGGACCGAGCGAGCTGGAGGTCGCCCCTATGCGATGCTCGCACACGACGGCCACGCCGCGCTGCATCCATGGCGCGGCGCGGTCGATTAACCAGGATTGATCAGATGAGCACGGCCGCGTCTCCATGGCTCGCATCTACGAGCGACAGCCGTCGTTCAGGCAGCCATTGGAGCGCGGCTCGAAGTACAACGTCAGCAGCGCCCAGCTGGTGACGCGCTGCCCAGAGTTGATGAAGCTTATGGCCGAGAGCGGCAACGCGGACCACGAAACCGCGCGCCAGGCCACCACGGTGCAGCGCTTCAAGAAGGTCTGGGTGATCGCGAAGCTGCAGCCGAGCCTCGAGACGGCCGAGGACCGGGCGAAGGTGCAGCGCATTGCGGCACTCGGCATGCCGAGTGACTTCGACCCCCGTGCTAGACAATCGGCTCACGCCATAAGCGCCGCCGCTCATGGCGAGCATGCTCGCCGCCCCGAGACGAGCGCGCAGGACGGCGGGCGCGAGTGGGACAGGGGGGCGGGGGTGAGGGATCGAGGAAAGGCCGAGTAGAGAAACGGCGTGCCTTGCACGCCTGACTGATCCCCGACGCGGCGGGGCAGTGGACGTCAGCTTCGTCCGAGCGTGGAGCGGTGGGAAGGAAAGCGACATGCTCGACGTTCTGGAGAAGTTCGAGAGGAACCTCACCACGAAAAAACATATCGCCCCCGACGGCCTGCAGGTGCTCAGCCAGCTGCAGTTCTCGGAGGGCCCGCTGCGGGCGCTGGCGACGATGGAAGCGCAGCAGGCGTCGCCCCCGCGGTGGGGGACGCCAGGAAGCGAAAGCACGCTCTTGTCCACCGCGGACTACAAGAGCGCGGGACACGGCGGGAAGAACAGGGACAGGGCCGTCCGAGCGGCGAAAGCGGCGAACATCACGCACGCCCGCAGGACGTCCGCTGCTGCCCACACGCAAGTGAGCGACGTCACTAAGCAGAAACACCTGTCGCAGCTGGACGTTCGCCTGGCCACGATAGCGGCGGGGTGGGGGGGCCAGGGAAGGGGGCGGGGGGCGGCGAGCGATGCTCGCTGGGAAGTGAGCGATGGCGAGCGACGCTCCCTTAATAGCGCAGGCCGCTGAGTGGCACGCGCGCGCGTAGTAAGCCAGGTGTTGGGCCAGAAGTGCGATGACCGCAAAGAGTGCAGCTCTATCATCGACGCGATGGCCGGCTTCTGGGAGGCCATCAAGGCCGACGAGATGCGAATTCGCAACGCGGCGTCGAAGCTGGATGTCCAGCCCGGCGTCGGCGACCTCGGCGGGAAGCCGCCTCCTAAGAAGACCAAGGCGACGACCGCGGCGCCCCTAGGGACGGCGCCCCCATCCATGACGGACGGGGGATCGATCGACCCGCAAGCATTTCAGGCCAGAGGCTTCGAGGTCGGCGCCACCATCGCGCCGAACGGCACAAAGACCACGAACGTGCTCGCGATGACGGCGATCAATGATCAGACCGCCCACTTAAGTGGACGGTCTGATCATGACATGATGACCGAATCCAAGGCTTCTGTTTTGTACTTCGTGAGAGGAAAGTTAGAGGCAGTGCCGTCGAGCTGTGCTCGCTGACAGAGTCGCACTGGTCCAGCGGGGTCGGTTGGGGGCCAGGGGGCGGGGGGGGGCGGGACGGCGAGGGTGCGCATGATGGTGGGCTGCCAGGTTGTCGATTGCACGCAGCACGACAAGATGCGAGAGATAACGCGATCGAGTCCGTGAACTCGCGCTGGCGGGTCGCAGTCGACTCTTCTGATGACGGCAAGATCTTCGGGGGGGGCAAGCTGGCGCACAAACAGGCATCCCGTGGTGCAGCGAACTCGCGAGCGACGCTCGCACTCACGATCTAAGATCCTCCGATCCTGCCCCACGCTCGCGAGCTAAGCTCGCATGTGATCAGCCAGATGCAGTGACAGCACACACCCGCATGGTAGACCCCACCACCCAGGAGTTCAAGGGCAAGACGCCAATGGCTGCGACGGGCTCCTCCAAGAAGGGCGAGCTGCAGCTCGCAACGATGTTTGACAGAATCACTGCCGTAAGCAAACCTGCAACGAGACCACCATCATCAACAGTGGGGACTGCGTTTCAGCTGTGGTGGTGCCCTGGGCACTTCAACTTGACGGCGTCGATGTTTGTGCATCCGTTCGGGGCAGGCGTGATAGCCTCGACGACGAGAAGAAATTCAGTTCGAACCCGTTCTGGCATGACCACTTGGCCCATCAAGAAAGCAACAGCGTCGAGCTTCGCTCGCTCGAAATCTCGGCCTTAAACTACAAGGTACTCGTCCCGATGTGGGTCAACGCGAATGACATCAAAGAGGGGCGGCCCATACTGGGCCCGCTCCAGGACAAGAGCGGCGACGCGGGCGGCGCAGTCGGCGAAGGCAGCAGCGCCGCCAACAGCGGCGAGGGCGGCTGCAAGGGCGGCAAGGGCGGCAGGGGCGACAAGGGCGGCAAAGTGCCCGGTCGCAGCAGGGGGCGGGGCACGTAGGCTGCGCCGACGCCATGCCTAACATCGACGATACGAGCGCTTACCAGTGCGAGCTGTGACCTCACTGATGCACGCGAGCATTGCCCGACATGCGCAACAGATTGGGGCGGGGGCATGGGCAATTGCCACCATGCGAACTGCGCTCGCACAGTGGCGCGCGAGCGTTGCTCGCCACCCGGGTGATCCGTCCTCGATGGATAGCGCGCTGAGGTCACAATGCAGCCGCTGAACAACATCATCGGCAAGTGGAGTTGCGAGAGGACTGCAGAGCGCCCACTCTTGCAGCCCCTCGAGGCGCTCCACGACAAGGGCGCGACCAACCTGAAAGTGTTCAAGCGTTCCCGAAGTGCTGTCGCACGCCGCCGCCCCAAGACAAACTTGCTGATGGGCATGAGAGTGGGTGGTGAGGAATGCTCGCCAAGATGCGCACGCCGCTTACCAGGGGAGGGGGAGAGGTGAGCCATGCCCGCCAAGGCGCGCACGCCGCTTACCTGA